ATATATATATATATATATATATATATATTTTTTTTTTTTTATCCTGAAAACACATACCCATGGTACTTTAATATAATATTTTCAATCAGAAGGGTACCTTATGTGACATGAGATGGACCATATCAATCCTCAAGAAGATTCATGAATAGCTATTCTAATATAAAACTGCTGACTAGAAGGAAGACAATCAGTTATTTAGCATCTACCACCTATGTGGATACTCCTAACCAAATATTACGATAGACTTTTACAATTTCAATGTCATCTCCACTGAAAGTACAGAGCATGTTCAGCAGGATATTGTCTCAAACATATGACCTTCTGATATGCAACTCAGCCTGCCAACCAGTAGGCAGCTGGTACCTTGATATACATTAACATTCTGTAAATATATTTAAAGGAAGCTATGACAAGAGTGTGTTATATCTTGGATGTCTCAGCATGCAAGAATGTGAAGAACGCTGGTATTTTTGTTCAAACTCTTCACATATTTAATCAAAGCCAAAAACACACAACTTTTTCTTATCAATTATAAAAACCTCAAATCTGACAATAAACATTATAAGACTAATTTCTAACATTAATATAACAGTATATTGACATGCCTTAGAATATTTTCTTACATTTCAAACTTGAAAACATTTAATTTATATTTTGTATTCTGCACTCTATGTGTGAACAATGCATTGCATTTCCTGTTGTTCAACCTTTCAAGTACATGTATTTTGTACACCGAGACAGAGAACTTCTTTGAAAAACAATTTTATAAATGCTGAACTAATGAACTGGCTTCTGTTATTTGGAACCACAAAATAAAGAGTATGTACAACCAATCATGTTTACTCTCTCATTCATAGAGCACAATGTAAAATGTCATTTTAATCTTTAGTGGTGAAATTCAGGTGAAGCAAAAAATTTATGAAAATTATGATTTAGGATCATAAGAAGAAAAAGGTATATTTAGAAAATGACAGTATGGATACCTATCTTGTTTAATCATAATTACTGCAACCAGTGGTCATTCAGAATTTGTAGTTTATGGTTGGAAAAAATAAAAACAAACATGTATCAAAATCATATGTGTTTATCAAAACAGAACCAGTCTATAACTACATATATTTTAATGAAAAAAAAAAAAGCAATGTAGCACACATACACTATTAATCAATCTACCAATGAATTAAGAAGCTTGCTCTCTTAAAATAAATGTGCACTGCTTTTATAAAGCTTAAACTATTCAGAAAACTTAGCAAGTTATTAGTAATAAATCTGAAATAACAAAAAACAAACACCAGAAGAGTCTGTCATGCACAGATAAAAAATGTATCTTTATACATATCACTTTTATCTTTTCTACATTACACAGTTCATGTATTAGAAAGTACTGAGGCAGTTGTTCTCAATCTGTGATCTGTGGAAAGGTTGTATAATTACAGAAAAGCAGCAGCATTGTATAGATCTCACTGTGGTCCATCAACATAAACATTCTGGTGATATATGAACAATAAAATTTGGGAACCACTGAACTAAAACATAGGCTTTTTTTATATTAATACTAAAAGTAAAATATAACAAAGTGGGAATTTATTACAGTTAAATATGATAAAGAAAAAAATATTCAAACTTCAGTGTACATTACAAACAAAACAAACATTGCCTCTTCTTTCCCACTAAGAACTCAAGAAGCTAATAAATTTTTCTGCCAGATAAATTATTTTACTTGGAATAGAATAACAAAAACAGTTGAAATGATTGAAATTCTCTTAAATGTAACAGCACATTCAATAATATATCAAATTAAGATAAAATGTTTTTCAACCGCAGACTAGCCAAATAAACTTCTTGTACACATACAACATTATTACTCCTTTAAATGATGCAAATAGATGATATTAGGCACAGCCATCATAAAAAAGCAAACACCAACTGACTTTTAAGTTTTCTTGTTTTGAGTGACAGCATACACTGTAAAATATAAATAAATACAAAAATAAACAAAAACTGAAAGAAAACTCAACAAAGGATCCTTAAGTAACAGTAAAAAGCAAATGAAAAAAAAGTTCTAAAATCAAGTATCCAATTAAAAATATTTTTTCTGTACTTACAGCTTAAATAAATATAATTTTTGATCAGCATGAAACATCACACAAATTAATCAAAACATAATAGAAGTAATGTGCATACAGTTTTTACTTGACTGAGATAAAACTAATTACATTATTAAATTATTGAAATTCAAAATTTTTCATATTTATATTAAATGAAATTGAAAATTTTAAGTAATTTAAATGCTCTTTATTTCAATGGTTTGTTTGTTTATTATTAAGCACAAAGCTACACAAGGGCTATCTGTGCTCTGCCCACCACGGGTATCGAAACCCGGTTTCTAGCGTTGTATGTCCGCAGACATACCGCTGTGCCATTGGGGGGCTATTTCAATGAAAAAGACCTTTAGTATTAATAAATTCAAAGTAAACATTGTGTATTAGTGTGCAAAAACACATACTATTGGTTAGTTGTTTTGAAGTACATATTTCTCTAATTTTCCTATTTCATTGTTGCCTCTCAGAGCAAACTTTAAGTTCAACTTGGTTATATTCCTTATAATAAACAAAAACAATCATAATAATTTCTCAGTATTACATCCTTACTGACTTGTCCTACTGTCCAGGTTATTTTAACACGCAACTATGAAAATAAGACATATTTTCATTACTGCATGGTTTGTGTGTGTTAAGGTACATAAAATGTTTTAAAATATTAATGGCTTACTTGATGGATACTCTGATAAACGCACAGCTACTGCTAACCTAAAATTTCACCATCTCATTTTTCAAGAGCAGCAGCATGACTAACAATCAATGCTACTCATATCTAACATTTAAACTAAACAAAAAAATCACTGGCTTCTTCATTATCAAGGCAAACTTGAACTAATTATTTCATAAACTTTACAATAAAAATGATTTTATGCTAAAAAAGAATGTCATAGCAAAAACAAGAAAGTATTAAGTGTCAAAGTACAGATGACAAATGATATGCATCTAGGGCAAGTTATCAACTCAGACACAGGAGCTCAATGGGAAGGAACAAGGAAATGAGAAGCTTTATTACAACATGAAAATACAAAATCATATTGCCTTTTATGGCAGAGATAACAGCACTTAGATATGGAAAACAAAACCAGAATGTACATTTCAATATAACTGTTTAATGATTGGTCAAATCTTGTTCAACTCCAAACCTCTCTACATTCCACACACGAGAATGAATTCATTTGCTCTAATTAAAGAAGTTATGAAACATGAACACAGAGAGGTAACAAGTGATTTATCTATTAGTTCCTAATCAATTAATCAAATTATGAGATTCCTTTAAATAATTTAGATTATGGAAACAAATTCAGGGAGGTGGATTAACTTACATGCAATACACCTGGAACCTGGTGCACAAAATTAACCAGGTTAACATCTTGACATAGCTCTCAGGTATTGTGTTAGTAGATCTAGCACAGTAACTTTGATAAAGGTAACAGTCAGCTATCAGATAAATAGCAAACCGACAGTTTTAAATGTGAACACTTCTAAAATTGAATTAAGAACTAACATTATTTAAAATGAACATCTAAAAGGTAAAGAAGAGAGGAAAAAGGAAGTTAACTGATACAAGTGAATTTGTTTCCATAATATATTTATTCCCTACTCCTGATGCACATTTGCCCAGTAGAATATGATTCTGTACTTGTCCATGGGCTTCAGTATCAAGAGGGGGACTGGCAATTTCCTCAGCCACTATAGACCCAAGCTTCCAGGGTTAAAGGTGGCCACAAAAGCAAGCAGCAGATAAAGAAAGCACAAAAGTGTTAGTAGAAGTTAGGAGAAATATTAACAAGAAAAGTTGTACTTTAAATGTAATGGTTAAATAAATATTATTTTATACCTGTAATTGTAAGTTATAAAGTCATGGTGCTATTTGCACTCTCCAAGAAATTACCACATTAATCTAATACAAGATGAGAACACTTACATCTCAGATTTCTTTAACTTGTAACTGAGTTTAGTATTTCATCACACAGTATGAAAACTTTTAACCCTTCCTAGACTTTGGTAAAGGGGGGGGGGAGAAATGATAACTCTTGATTCTTTCCTTCTCACAGTGACAATAGTTAAGCAAATTGCATGAAACAAACTTACTAAATAGTATCTAGTTTTGGCTTAGAAGAAATTTATATAATTTGATTGACATTTTATATAATTTTAAAGGTACTGAAATTTACAAAGTTTTGTTCTGAAAATATTTTAAAAACATTACAAGTACTTTAATTCTTTTATCAGAAAGTTCCATTTAACATATGTAATCAGGTTAAACTTTGAATTACATTCATTAATGTATTTATTTTACCTATTGCAGTAGTCACCACTTATGACTATAAATTATAAAAAACCTTGCAGAAACTAATAACACTTTATCAGTGCCTTAGGACCTGACATTTCAAAATGATGATAGGTCAGAATAGATAACAATCTTATTGCTAACAATATTCTCAATCAAAATCAATTAATATTGAATAAATATATCATGTTTTCAATAAATTATAATTTATTTTATTTACGTTTGTTGTTTGTATATAATACACTTCACAACAATATTCAATAAACGAAGATTTGAGTCATTGGAATATTTTGCCACTGCTTACCACACTGTAAACCTTATAAGGCTTACCTGATGTCTTGCAATATAAAAAAAAATTCCATATTTTTCAAACAAATACAATTTAACACAAAAACATTTTCAGGAGTGAAAAGAATATCTAAAGAAACAATAAAAAATTCCCACATCCGTGGTTTATTCATAAGTCTCCTAAACTTTCCATTACATTTCACTGTCCTTCTTGGCATGTGTTAAGTCTGTCACTTTCCCACAAAACTATAAGTTACTTTCATAATACTTTATTCACTTTACACTGATACAAATAATTTATAATCTGCCCTATCCAACCTATTTAAACTTTGCTTGTAGCTATTTTAAAAGCTGAATTTCATTAATCCTTGTTCAATCACGTGCTGTGAGGTCATAAAAGGGTGTGAACTAACAAACAAAACACTGATAATTATATTATCAAGAGTTGATAGTTTCTTAACAAATATAAACCTATGCATTAGGATAGGCAGACAAATTAAAAAAAAGCTATAAATGCATTGTTTACAGGTTAGACTCCTGGATGCTGCGAAGAAATAAGTTTGAATAAAAATTTTTCTTCGGGAATTAAATTAAATAAATATTAAGAGATAACAAAATATCAGTCTTACAATATGTTTAGTAAAAAAAATGTTGAAATGGTTAGAATCATTATTTTTAGTTCAATTGTAAAATATGATATATAAAAGTGTGCACTTGACACCTGAGAAATGATCACTAGCCTAGAAAGGGTTAATATGTAAAGCTGAATTAAATAGTTGTAGTGATATCAGTTTCTAGTTTATGTGTTCTTTCTAACAGCCTATAGATACAATTATAGTTTTAAACATTTGTTCAAATTCAATACACTATACATCTAAAAGTGAGTAATAAAATAATAAAAGTCTTATTAAAAATCAAAATAAAACTCAACCCCACTGAAGTTTCTCAACACAATATTCCAAAAACTTGTTTAATTATATACAAACTCTAAAACTAGTAAAACATTCTACACCAGCATAAGTAAGTAAACACTAAAGCAATAAAACTAAATAGATATGAGCAAATTAGATAAATTCAAACCATTTTCGTACATTATCTAAGGAACATACAATGAAGCAACATTTTACATATACAATGACCTTAGTACATTAAAAACTTGAAGCTCTCCATACTTAACCTAATTTTCATTTCAACTCTATATTTACTTGATTAATACAGATTATACTTTTATTTCATCACAATAATATTTTAACATGTTTAAAATAAGATTCCCTAAGTTCATTGAATTTTCACTTGAAACACAAAATAAGGTGCTTGATTTCATATAAAAAGTCCCTACAATCAGATTTATTACACGAGAATAATGAATATTTGGTCCTAGTTTACAGCTGATTTTTTCTCGAACATAATTCTTTTTTACAAGAGAATGATATAGATTAAATTCCTTAGTGTTAAAGTGATATAAACATTAAAATGAAACAGTTTACGACTAGGTCTTGGAATTCATTTATTTATTTTTCTATTTGTATACCCATCAATTTTTTGTGTGTATTTATATTTATGGCAATGCTACAAATGTTATCTGGTTCATAATAACAAAATGCACAATTATTTTCTTATGAATGAAATTTACTAGTAATAACCTTAAGATCCCAAAGTGATCTGATCAGTTTCCATATAATAATGTTTAACATGTTTTATGTATCTTCATGAAATCTTTCAAGCAGTTAGTAAGCATTACAAGTGTTTGGTGTACAAAAAAATCTGAATTTTTAAACTATTTTTAATGAAAATTTGTCTGTGAATATATGGAGTCAGAGTATTGACTGCTCCAAGTACAAAATAATTTTCAATTTAAGATTAAAAATGCTTATCTTCATCTGAAAATTATCAAATTTCATCTGTGCAACCTCTAAAACCTTGTAAATGAATATCAAATATTCGTTTTAGCGCAGCTTTATAATTTAACTGTTATTTTCTCTACACTAACTCTTATATGCATTCAGGGTCAATTGGACTGAACACATAATCACAAAGAAAAAGAAAAAAAGTGAAATAAAATGAGAAGTACTGTTCTATTAATTTTAATATTAACCACAAAGTATCTCCCGAGTTTTCTACTTTTAACCTTTTCACTTTTAGTTCCTATGTTTATTTTACTGTTAGTGGCTGAAGTAAAAACCTGCCAAACATAAAGCAATGAATCACCACTCCTGCCATTAGACTTCTATGTGACACCATAATACACAACCATGGACAGCAAACAATCAAGTGTGGTGCATTCA